TGTATGCATGCATGTCTTTGTATGCCTGTATGTATGTATGTGTCTGTATGTATGTATGTGCCTGGATGTCTTTGTATGTATGTTTCTGTATGTATGTATGTGTCTGTATGACGGTATGCCTCTGTATGTATGCATGTTTTTATATGCCTTCATGTCTCTGTATGCATGTATGTCTTTGCCTGTATGTCTGTATGTCTCTGACTGACTGTATGTGTCTAAATGTCTCTGTATGATTATTTCTGTGTTTGTATGACTGTGTGACTGAAAAAATATGCCTGTGGCTTGGGAGGAAATACACACAGGTGAAGATGCATTTTTTTTTTTTAAAGGAGGTTGAGGGGCACCAAAATGCATGTTCGCCTGTGTAACTTAAAATCCTAGCACCGGCACTGAATCTCTGCCTTAGCTACACATACTGAAGGGGCCGGACTGTGGGTGGCCAGGGGCTCTTATTTTGTGGCATACTGCACAAACATGGTTCAACACTGAGTGGAGGGACAGTGCCAGGGTACTCCAGGCACTATAACCAATTCAAAGAGATGAAATGCTTATAGTGACTACAGTGTCCCTTTAAGCTGTTTCCTCTAAGTTTAGCTGACATTTTTTCCATCTCTTGAATAAAGTAAATTTCTCTCTGGGAAGTGTCAATTGTAGGAATCTCGTTTTTCTATCTCTTTGCAATACATAGTCTTCCAGCGACGCAGAGTTTATGGCAGAAATATATCACTATAGAACGCAAGCATCTTGTTGAGTGATTACCATTCAATAATGCTAAAATAGTATCAGGTAACAGGGACATTTCTAAAGTGTCACTCAATATCTGAAATATCGAGTTCCAGAATGCACATATTTTGAGACATGTCCAGCCCATGTGGTAAAACATACCATGTGCGACTGCATTTATTTTTTACTGTGTATGTTTTTTAATAAAATAAACTCATACACTTATTCTGAATTTCTCTTTCCATATCTCACAGTTTAAAATTGGCCTGTATACTGCATTGAATACTTTGAAATATGTATTTTCTTTACCCTTATACATATAATATATCAAGTCTGGATAGAAAATGACCACATTCAGAAAATGTAACGGTGATCAATTATTCCTTTTAAGATTTAGTTAGTGTTTCCCTGCCAAACAATTTGGCTGTTCCTTAGGACAAAGGGTGGAAGTCAAAATTTGGATTAAACCCACATCCTGCAATTGTGATTTTTTTTTCTCTGTTCAATTTAAAGATTCCAAAAATATATACCTCATAGTCCTAACAGTTACCATGACAAAGCTAAATGTTTTTGACCATCATAACTTATTTCCATATTTTGGTATCTGGAGTAGTCTCTTTTTATTGCATTTTTTTTTCTAGATTGACGATTGCTTGTTTCTAAGCTCACTTTTCAAAGCCTTGGGCCAAAAAAGCCTGGAAATGGATGTAAGCCGATGAAGAATTGTACCCCACCCCAAAGCAATGCAAGTCTTTAGATAACGGCTGGAAAATAAACACTAAATAAAATATCATAAAGAAGGATAAATTGCTGCAATAATCATATATTTCAGGTTAGAACAACCATCACTCCTCTTTATTGTGGTATAAACCAGGCAGAGAAATGATTACAATTTGTTTTATAATGTCTTCATATGAAGAGGAAGACACTTTCATTGATCAAGCTCGCCGAAGATGCCGCACAGTTTATCAATGATTTCATCTCTCTTTCACCGACACATATGAACTAGGATATTTGCCAATCATTAAAATGAACAGTGAATATATACAGGTTTATTTACTAAAGTGAAAATTCAAAGGGAATTTCAAATGTAAGACCAAAATAACCGAACTGGAAAAATTATAAGTCCGCTATGCTTTCGGTTCGGCTAATTTAGTCTTTAAAAAAATGTTTACATTTGAATTCACCCGGTTGAATGTCCCTGATAGATTTGAAGGCTAAGCTGTTCAGGTGGATGACAGGTGAATATATTGTTTTTAAGACTTATTTCTCCCCTGATAGGCATTTGGCATCCTGTTAGGGCCCACTAGTAGGGATACCAAGTGGATAACACAGTTCCCGAATAAATCCTTCTTCACACAGGTTATGTTTATCATAGACCAAAAGCATTAAAGGGACACTATAGGCACCCAGACCATTTCATCTCATTGAAGTGGTCTGGGTACAGTGTCCCTGTCCCTTTAACCCTGTAATGTAAAACATTGCAGTTTTAGAGAAACTGCAATGTTTACACTATATGGTTAAATAAACACTATGGCCCCTAAAGCTCTTTAACTTGCTGAAAAGCTGTATGTGTGAAGAGGGTGTCCTATTTTTTCATTTTGCAACAAGTGCAGATTTGAATAGAAATTTACACTTTTATTATTTAACCTGGTTACACCCCCTTGGCTGTCAATCAGACAACAAGTTCTATTACTTCCTGGTTTTGTTAACTCAGTCGAGCTAATCTCAAGACGCAACAATTGCCCAGAGCAGTTGCCTTGCAAAGACCTCTCATTGAGCTGCATTGGGAAGTCTGTGATTGTCAGTCACAGAAAGTCTGGGGGGTGGGGATAGGAAGTTAGAAGTGGAGAGATTGCAAAGAAAGCAGACACGAGAACTACAGGTTTTGCAATTTGGTTTTATATATACCCCCAATGAAAAAAAATGCATAGTTAAATGATTCAATGCTTTTCTGTGAGGAAGGCCTAATGCATGCATGGTACTCGCTGTGCATATGCATCAGACTTTCAGATCGCCGTGACGTTGGTGGAGGAGGAGCCTGATCCTTTTAACGCTGGCAGCGCATATATGTATTCCTAACGCTTTAATATTCTTTTAAGTATATAGACATTGCTACTCCCTCTCATTTTTATCCTGAAGCATTAAAAAGAGGGGGTTTACTCCAACCAGTAATGTCTTTTTACATTAAATGCTTTAGTGTCTAATTATATACACTATTTTATCTCACTTTGCTTCCAGTACCATAGAGTTCATAATTTTCTGAAATTGAGAATCTTTTCCCCACTACACCTAAGCTAATTAATTAATTTCCACAATTGCAAGTCATTAATTAGTCCATTAAAACTATTCAGAAATTATACCCAAAACTAATTAAAATGAGGAAAAGCCAACCTTTCAAACGATAGCTTTAAGCTTAGACCGGGCAGACTAACGTTTTTCATCCTTACAGGCCAGTAATGTTCCTTAATGACACTTACCCCATTCTAAACAAAACATTATATAAAGAGTTTTAATGTGGTCTAAAGTCCTTTATTAAACATTTTATAGTATATGTTTGCCAATCCATCTGGCCCGTTAGTTTTATGCGTTCTCAGTGATTTTATTGCCTCCATGATTTTCTCTAGAGCTCTCTGACGAACTGTAGACTTTGATTGTCTTTCATTCAAGGTCGATGGTTTTAATGTCTCAGTATATTTATTTATTTATATCTACAGTTTATTAAGATTTGTTGTACATATTATCTGGGAGAGTGTGATTATATAATTAATTATAATATGTATTAAACACCTCATTAATCAGCTATAGTGAGGGTTGAGTACATCCCTTTGCATTTCTTCTAAACGGTATTATTCAATTTCTCAGAATAGCTGTTTTTTCACACCGGTATAAATTTATACTTCAATAATCACTGTATGTTTTATCTCTCTTCTGGTTTTACATAATTCCAAAGAAGGAAATGGCCTAATGACCTTCTCCCCTGACCCTGATAGTTGAATTGTTCCCTGAATCCTTTGGGGATTGTGATGATAGGAAGCTATTTTTATATATTTTCTATTTTATGTGACTTTAATTACTGAGCAGACCATTGGATATTGTCTCATGGTATGTATGTATGTATGTATATATATTCTCTGCAAACCATTGCTCTAATTGTTTCTTTGGATTATCATAAATATCTGGCTATTGTAATAAACATAAATTAACTTTCCATGATCCTATATTCCCGTGTGTATCTGTTCTTAAACTCCTGATATAGCTATATCTGCTTAAGTACATAGAGGCGACTTCCTACTTCTTTTCATGATTGCTTCCTTAGTTGATTAGTAGTATAATCTAATTACTGCATCTCCTGGGTAATCATAATTCTGTTGAGAATATTGTATCTCTGTTTACTCAATCTACCAGAAGTCTTTCATCACGTATATCTGGTAATATTATTCGAAAACATTTAGTTTGCTTTCCATCTTCTGTTACACATTTTAGTCCTAAATTGTTCCATCTAGATCTTTTGGAGTAGTCTTGTAGACGATTTCCTCAACAGTTTTCAATCTGCTCAAAGGCAGAAGAGTTCTGTATTAAGGCTTATGATTTAAATTTTTTTTTTTTTTGCTATTCTTTTCCAATGGCTTGTATATACTTGCCCAGCCATGAATTTCCAATTTTACTGTGAACGTGATTTATTATTATTATTTTTTATTATTTTTTGCTTTTTTCAGCAGCATACACCATTGCTGACAATTCATCTACCCTAAGATATGTGCTTTAGTTCAGATTCTGACATTAAAATACACTAAGATTTTTAGGGGTGGTTGGTAATTTGATACTTTTCTTGTTCGTATGTATTTTTTAAATTCTTTTCTCTCTCATTCAAAAACCAAAACCAAATGGAATGTTGGGGGGATATATGTAAAGTCCAAAATAATCCAGCTGTCCTTTTAGTTTTTTTATTTTATCCACTGTGATCTTATTTCTATTCTTTATTTTTTCTCATCTATTCTTTTTTTTTCTTGCCTTCCCTTTCTTTGAATACATATTTTGTACAAACTGAGCTTAATATCAATAGTTAAGGGGGCATGACCTGGCTACCAGCCAAGATGGCCACCATTTATTAATGCTCATAAAAGATCTGGGCAATAACTTATCAAAACTGCTTTAAAATGTGTTTAATTCGATATTAATTCAACGCTTTAGCATTTGGTTAACATGCAGAAACAAAAGAGAGGCATTAAACCCTCGAACGAGATGAAATTCACGGGAAGAATCTAATTGCCGTGGCACACTGTAATAGCGGATGAGGTTCGGCAAAAGCTGCAATTTAGCACGGCGTCTGCGGGTTCTGGCTCAGGAAAGACCTTTCGACCATCTAAAACATTTCCCAAATAGATGGAAGATTCTAGCTCTGCATCTGTTCCGCTAACAGTTCTTGGTGTGGCTGCCAGGGGCTTATGGAATCCACTGTGACTCCAAGCAGGTATGTAACTGATGCACAGCCTTTGGCTAAACAGTCGGAGGAGATGCTGTGAGAGACCTTACCATCAAAAAGTATATTTGCGGAGGATGTCGGGTCTGCTCTTGGAAGTATACCGCAGATGCAAATGACAGTGGTGCGCTTTAGAGCTCCTCTTGCGGAAAGGGAAGGACATTGTGCTTAATACTCTGGAAGAGGGTCTGGAATTTGTTAAGATGTGGACTGTTTCGAATGGTGGTAAATAAAAGTCTTTTGGAAAATGAAGACAGAACATATATATGTAGAAATACCAAATAATAGGGTGCGCCAAAGGGTAAAGGATAAAATAGAGGTAAATAAGACAGTAAAAATGGAGCAAAATATACAAAGTCCTATGATGACAATAAAAGTGTATACCCAATAATAAAAACAATAGTCCAAAATAAAGTTTTTATAGCGGTGACACATGTGGGCCTGGTAGGGTTTGCTTGTATCCTCAGGTGTGTGTACCATCAAAATGTTCTGGATCCAGGAACATAAAAAAAAAATGGAAAAAAGTGTAATACGTTCAGAATAAAATATACATGTATTAAAGGAAATCCAAAAGGCCTACTCACATGGAATAGAGCTAAAACCAGCTCTAGTATAGTGCGCCTGCAGTGGATTTGATCCCCCACTTCAGGGATATCGATGGAAGGTGCCAATCAGCAGATATCTTAGCAGCAGGATATATGTGAAAATAAAAAAGTGCAACAATAGTGCTCACTGTATAAAATATAATAAACCAGGAGTAAAAATAGATAAGATATACTCACACATTCCTGAGCAGCTAGCCCTCTCAGTATAATCAGCATAGGTGGTATAATCCCCACCTGGGATGCTCGGTGAGGTCCTCACTGGGAAGATAAAATCAGAATGCCAGGTAATAAAAGAAAAAAAAAGGTATATGGCACAAAATACTTGTAAAATGTCCAAAACCTTTATTTTAACAAAACGTAATAGTAAAAGTAATCCATAACGCGTTTCACCCACAATGGGCTTTATGAAGTGGTAAAATTGATCTTTTTACCTTTTCTTAGAATAGATATATGTGTTTACTGACTTGATGCCTCACTGTATATTACTGTATGGTGTTATATGCTTCTTATATTTCTATTAATTCTGATGGTTGTTATTGCGTGTCTCAGCGGACTTATCTTTTTGGATAGCAGATTTTTATGTTTTTTTATATTTTAGTTTATGCTATATAGCCTTTTTCTTTTTATTATTTATCTTTGGATAGTATAGGCCTTTTAAATTTTGGGGGGCTGAGACGTTTACATTTTATATATTTATCCCTTTTCTCCTAAGACCTATTCTTTTTTGTATATATATATTTTTTTCTCTCTCTCTTCGATACCCCTTTTCCATTAACAGTATTTTTTATGATAAAGCCATTTTTATACTGTGAGATACAGAACTTACTTTTTTTCTGATCGTGCAATGTGTTTTTTTCATATATTACTAAGTACTGTTTGAGTATGTCAATGTGCTATGTATATATTCGGGTGCAATTGGTTCCTTATGTATATTGTAAACATTTATCTGGAGATGGGGGTGTCTGTTTGCCCCTGTTTTTTCTTCCTTATTTTCTTTTCCCATTCCCTTGTTATATCCTTATTGTAAAATGCAAAAACCTTTCAATAAAATATATTTACAAAGTATCAGCAGTTAAAATAAAATAAAATCTTACCCACTGTTGTGGTTTATGATTGAGTTTCCTTTAACCCCTTAAGACCGCAGGGCGTTCTATGCCATCCTTATTTAGATGGCTCTGAACGCCGCAGAGCGGAATAGAACGCTCTGTGATCTTTTGTACACACCCGGTCGCCTGCGATCCCACGCCAGCGATCGTGGTATGGGGACTTACCTGGGAGCCCAGGGAGTCCCCTTTCGTCCTCTTTGGCCCCCCTGGGCCATGTGATCGTGAGGTCCTTGCGAGGACCCCGTGATCACATGGATGGCATAGCCGTCCAAGGTATTGCCAGCAGGGGCAGTGCCTGTAATGACAGGTACTCCCCCTGCTGCCTGGAAAAAAAAATTAAAAGATGTTTATTATATATATGATCTAAGTATATATATACACATATACACACATACACATAAATACACATACACTGTCTACGTGTATTTTAATATTAATATATACATAATTATATATATATATATATATTAATATCAAAATACACGTACAATGATATTGATTAAATATATATATAATTTTCATTATATGTATATTTATATATAATAAAAATAAATAAATATATAAAAAGGATAAAAAATAAAATTACAAAAATAATACAAAATAAATAGATAAAAAATATATATACACGTGTAATTTCGTTCTAACTATATTTTAAAATTAATATATATATATTGATATCAAAATACATGTAGAACGAAATAATATATATAGCTATATACATAAGCATATACGTATATATCACTTTATATATACCTATATGTAAATAAAAAAAATGATATACATATACACACACATATATATATATATACACATATATATATATATATATATATATATATATATATATTATAATTCTACGTATATATTTGTGTAATAATTTTACATAATTAGGTCATTTTATTACTTACAATTTGCAGGACCTGCCTGACAACCCAGGCCGAAAGTTCAGGGAATTTAATTTTCTAGCACTATATTTAACCCTGTAACTTTCCAAGACACCATAAAACCTGTACATGGGGGGTACTGTTTTACTCGGAAGATTTCGCTGAACACAAATATTAGTGTTTCAAAACAGTAATATGTATTACAACGACGATATCGTCAGTGACAGTGAAAATTTTTGCATTTTTCACACACAAATGGCACTTACACTGACGATATAATTGTTGTGATATGTTTTACTGTTTTGAAACACTAATATTTGTGTTCAGCGAAGTCTCCCGAGTATAACAGTACCCCTCATGTACAGGTTTTATGGTGTTTTCAAAAGTTACAGAGTCAAATATAAGGCTTGCATTTCAGTTTTTTCACATAAAAATTTGCCAGGTTGCCTTTGAGACAGTACAGTAGCCCCGGAATAAAAATTACCCCCATGATGGCATACCATTTGCAATAGTAGACAACCCAGGGTATTGCAAATTGGTTATGTTCAGTCTTTTTAAGTAGCCACTTAGTCACAAACACTGGCCAAATTTTGCATATAAATTAGTTTTTTGCATTTTCAAATATGAACACTAACTTTGGCCAGTGTTTGTGACCAAGTGGCTACTAAGACTGGACATACTCCATTTGCAATACCTTGTGTTGTCTACTTTTGCAAATGGTATGCCATCATGGAGGTAATTCTTATTCCTGGGCTACCATATGGTCTCAAAGGCAACGTAACGAATCTGGCGAGTTTCAATGTGAAAAAACTGAAATATGTAACAGGCTATATTTGACCCTGTAACTTCCCAAAACACCATAAAAGCTGTACATAGGGGGTACTGTTTTACATGTGAGACATCGCTGAATACAAATATGTGTATGTTACTGCAGTAAAAGCAAACAGTATTTTGACATTCACAGTTAAAATGTCACGTAGAACTAAAAACATTTTAAAAATTCTTATTTTCTCCCATTTTTAAAATATTTTTTTCATATTAAATTATGTTCCATACCTAAATATTTGATATTAAATGAAAGCCCTGTTTCCCCTGAATAAAATGATATATAATAAGTGTGGGTGCATTTAATATGAAAGAGGTGAATTACGGTTGGACAGACATATAGCGCAAATGCCATGTTTTGTTTACGTTTTGTTTTGATCACAACTTGTACATTTGGCTGCGGTCTTAAGGGGTTAAACACACAGTGCCATTAACATGTATCTACACTACCACTGCATAGATACAAGATACTCTTCTGCTTCTTTGTGCTTAGCTTGCACCAAAACCTGTATTTAAACCTGCTCTATCACGTCATACTTACTTTGCTTTAATAGATTCCTCTTTTCTCCTAATCTGGTCTTCTATTCTTAATTTTCGATCCTCTATACGTAAATTAGAGTAAAGACTAATTTGTCTTCTGTCATTTTGTTACACTTGACAATGTTTAACATAGGGTAGAGCTTACGGTAAGCTCCACTCCCTTTGTCAAATTCCATATTCCCATAATGCTCACCTGACTATCATGTCCCTCGCCTGTACAAGCTTACAAAAGCAGTGCAAAATGTCCTGCTGCTTGTCATGCGCGGACAGTATGGGCAGACAAGGGCATGGACTGTACGTCACTGCCAGTGCTTAGTAGATGGCGGCACACTAAAAATATATCCAATGCCAAGAACTTTAAATAAAATAAATATGAAAATAGGGGCATGAGTGATATTAAAGACATTGAGGGTACATAGGGACTTTGTAAGTTGGGGGGGGTAGACCATAACAGAGCTGCTTTAAGAGATTGACTTGTGAGTTAGTTTTTAATTCAGTCTAGTTAAGTCAGTATGTAACACAGCAAGCAAAATTTGCCTGTGATCATATAGTAGTCCTAGTCTTTCGTTCCCAATCTTTGTCTAAGACCATAAGGAAATAAGCAGCCCGGTTCTGGAATATTTACCCAAGAAAGTAGTCTTTTATTTATATGATCACCTAAATATCAGCACCCACACTTTGAGTGTTGCCTAGCAGTCTTCTAGCAGTCCTGTTTCTGGCCATTGATGCAAGCTAGTTGCCGCTAGAGTAACCTGCAAAAGCCACTTTCTGTATGTGAGCCTTAGTTGCAAGGAACATATTGTCTAGGGTCATAAATACAACAACAGAACCGATACCCAACATGGGGTAATGGATCACAAATTCTAAATAAATAATCAGAACAATTATAATGGCTCGTGAACATTTTTGTAATTCAAATTTTCAGCATGGAATTGACCAATGTCTAGAAGAGAATTTGACTTGAGCCCTAAATAGTTGTAACCCAGGGACTTGTGGTTATTCCTATCTCCATTATATTAATATACTCTATGGAACTCATAGGAGTCATTCTTCAAG